AAAAAAAAAAAAAAAAAAGAAAAAGAAAAATGACATGAACAAATGTACATGATGTTAAGAAGTGTATGCTCAAACACAAATCGCACTATTTTTATCTTTCTACTTCCTTCAATTCGTTAAAAAAGGAAAAAAGAGCGACCAAAAATCGCGACACATTCCCTTGGAACGTTTCAAAAGTCTTACCAAAATCTTGCGACATCGCGTTGATCGGTGGATCAAGGATTTTTAGAGCTTTCAAAGCGTTTCAGTAGTAAACTGAATTAAATATAAAATATCTTTCTATCCCTGTTACGCTCGCTGTTACAATGATATCAACGATCGTTCGCCTTCGTTTCGTTTCGACGATCGTTAGATTACCTTCGGGTCCGGATTCCTCTGCGCGTTCTTTCTTCGTTTCCATCTCTTTCTCCTCCACTTTCTGCGCTTTCGTTTCCTCTTCTTCAATGCTGATCTTTTCAACCGTCTCCTTCTTCATTTCCGTTTTCTCCTCCACGCTTTCTTCCGTTTTCGCTATAGAATTCACACATTTTGGGACTGTTTCAGAACACAGTGGCAATGAACATAGGTGAACGCGGAGAAAGTTCAGTAAAAACGATGTGAAAAGGATTAACCAACACGTGATAGTGACAATTGTGACATACAAAGTACATCGTAAGAATGGTTTCTTTGGATTTTTCCATTAAAAAAAAAAAAAAAAAATAAAGAGAAAAAGAAAGAAACACGAAAACCGTGTGACACATGTGTAAAGAGACAGAAACAAGAGGAAAAAGACACGAACAAATGGTTCACGCCAATGTCGGATCTGTGACGCGAGACTGTGCTTTAGAGATTATATGCTCGTTATATTATTCTGTGTTCTCATGTTGGAAAAGAGTCACATTTCTCATAGGTTTCGTTCGTGAAACCTTGCCAACGACTGTCCGTGAATCTTTGAACGAACAAGTGCGTCACATCGATAAACGAACGAACAACAAACCGAAAAAGAGAACCGTACCTTTCCTTTAGTACTTACTGAAAACGTGGGCAAAATCGAACGCACGACGATTCGCTGGCGATTTCGTTTCTCAAAAATTAAGAGTGTGTCGAGGGCACGCTAGGCGTTTGGAGAGCTGCTCCATCAATTCTGTTAATCCTGCAAAATTCTAGCGCCAGTAAGGCCAAACGTGACGATCGTTCCTCTTAATTGTTTTCTTCAACAACGAATACAGAACAGGAATGATGGAGCAGCGCAACAATTGAACCCTATTTCATTTGTAGAAGAAGAAAAACTGTTTGGATTCTTACTCATTATCATAACTTTGCTCTTGCTAGTCACAAAGCCTAGCTCGTTTTCAGCTCGAACCTCGTACATGCCCGCGTCTGAACCCTTTACTAAAGTCACCGTCAGATTGTAGCTTTCCTGTCGCTTGCTATCCCTTGTGATTTTAATTCTCGCGTCCGTGGAAACTTCCTCGCCATCTTTAAACCATTTCACCTCAGGCTCTGGCGTACCGGCTACTTCGAAGATCAATTTCAAGGTATCGCCTTCGTTGATTCTTTGATCGGCGAGTTTTTTCAGTAGTTTCGGCCTGGTATTCACGATCAATGTCGAACTGTTCTTGACTTCACCAAATTCGTTCTTCAACTTGCAAGTGTACTGCCCCTTCATTTCATTTTTAACATCAGAAATGAATAGCTTGACGAAATTGTCTTCTTCCGTACAAACGTATCCTTTGTGCTTCTCTGTAATCTCCACGTCGCCGATGTACCACCGGATGCTCGGTTTTGGACATCCATCGATCTCTACTTTGAACTCGATATTCTTTTCACCTTCGTTCACCGTGATGTCCTGCAGCTTAGTTCTGAATCGTGGAAGTCCTCTTACCTGGTAAATCAAATATTAAAAGTAACAGTTTTGAAACGAAGAGATTAATTTTTATTTTTTATTCAAGATATATTATTATATTCGAGATTAATTAATATGAAAACCGAGGCTTACCTGAGTTTCATATAACTTAAAAACTTGTTTTATTTACCTGAATTGTAGTTTCATCAGTGACAACTCCGTGTTCAGAGGAGACTTCTACTTTGTAAAGTCCTGCGTCCTCAGACACTATACCGGTGATCTTCAGAATGAATTTCTTACCCTCTCGAGTTATTTTCATGTGACTATCTTCAACAACCAGTTCTCCATCTCTGTACCATTTAATACTAGGCGGCATCACTGAATCAACTTCGACGAACAAAGTAAGAGTGCTTTCTTGATCCAGAATTTGTGATTCGCCCAATCTCTTTGTGATCTTTGGCGGACTTAATACTTTCAACTTCCAAATTTCTGTCGTTTGGTTGACCTCGTTTCGCGCGACAATCGAGTACGAGCCAGAATCATCTAAACGAGCGTTTTGTAATATCAACTTATAAGTTTCACTGCCTTCCTTAACGATGCTTATACGATTGTCTTCTCGAAGTTCTTGACCATCTTTGTACCACTTAACTTCCGGCGCAGGCGTGGCTTCGATTTGCACGACCATCGTCGACGTTTCGCTGACATTGACAGTTGTGTCAGTTTGCTTTTTCGTGACCTTTGGCGCAGATTTCACGATCAACTCGATTTGAGTTGTATCTTCGCCCAATTCGTTCTTCGCCCTGATTGTGTAAGTACCAGCATCCTTGGCAGTGACATTCTTGATTACCAAGGACATTGATTCCTCATCCTCCCAGAGGTACTTGTATCTTCCACCAGCGACAATTTCCTCTCCATCTTTGCTCCATTTGATGTCTGGTTTTGGATATCCTCTGATTTGTAATTCCAGCATGGCTGATCCACCGGCGCTCACTTCCGAATGCCTGGTTTCTGAACACAATTTCGGCTTTTCTGGTTCTTTCAGTAGCTGGTGTACTGCACCTTGGACCGTCAGTTCTGCACTGCAGCTGATGTTACCTACAATTCGAATTTTTTTTAGTTAATGCATCAAATTATTGTCCAAAGACTTATGAAGTTGTCAAGAATTGATTATCACCTGTACTCGTCTGCGCGACGCAGGTATAAAGACCAGCGTCCTCAGGTTTGACATGCTGGAACACTAAAGCCAAAGTATCTTCGTCGTCCTGGAACAGCACTTTAAAGCGTTCTTCAGGATCGAATGGTTTTCCATCGCGCAGCCAAGTGAGCTTCGGTTCCATGCCTGGTTCGAGGAAATCTTCAGGAAGGTACAACATTTTCTCATCCGACACCGTTACAGTTGCTTCGCAAGAAGCTTCTCCAAATCGATTCTTCGCAGTGCACGAGTATTTGCCAGCGTCTTGCTTTTGAACATCGGAAATTACTAGCTCGTAGAAACCTTTGTCTGCTTGTTCAGTGACGACCTTTACGCGCGGATGATTTTCGTCAATTAAAACATCGTCTTTGAAGCTGTGTTAAAAAGAAATTAAAAGATATGAATTAAATACACTCGTCTAATATTGAAATTGACAACGTATAGCTTACAATTTCATCTCAGGATTAGGGTCTCCTTTCACTTTCACCATGAAACGCAAGTAAGTGTTCTCCAAGAGTTCCGTGTCCTTCAGTCGCACCAAGAAGATTGGTGCATTAGCTTCTGCTCTCGCCTTCTTCTCTTCAGGTGTTACTAATTGACGAACAAAGGGCAGATTTTTATTTTTACAAGGCATTCTTCATTTGTTATAATATATAAATTTTATATATATGAACTCACGTTTTTGTACAATAAGCTGGGCAGTACAAGTAGCTTGGCCTTCACTATTCATAGCTCGAGCGATGTAAATGCCAGAATCCGATTCGAGCACGTTTTGGAGTTGAAGTCTGAAAGTTTTTCCAGTTGCAGAGGCTGTCAGACGATCTGCCAATCTATCTTCTAACGGTTTGTTGTCCTTTAGCCATTGTACTCTCGTTGTTGCATCGGTTTGCAATAGAGTACACTCGAAGACAGTCATTTCTCCAGCTACGTAAAGAAAATATGATTGGTAAAATTATTAAAAAAATATTGATGAATGGAACACGGAGCAAATTATTATTGTACATCTAATTGAAAAATTTATATACAATGTTGTACAGTCAAAAATACTTGATACAAGATTTATATACAATGTTGTACAGTCAAAAATACTTGATGTCTTTATACAAGATATCTTTATACAAGAGGATTGAAGGGGATTCTCATTGGATGTAACAGTGTCTAGAACTGAAGTAATTCTTGTTTCTGTTCATTTACAAAAACGAAAGGGGTGGATGCAAGTGTACTACAAAATTTACAACAACTAAATTTAAGATACCGATATAAATAAATATATTGGTATTTATTTATATGTCATTTTGTTCAATTGATGATGAAAAATGTGTCGCGTGTAAAATGTGCTTCACTTGTATAAAATGGGACAGTTAATAAAAAATATATATATATATATATATAAACAAAGATATATATTAGCAATTACAGAAATAGCTATTTGAAAAATGTAAACAACAATAAAGCAAATCGTGTGCCAGAGTTTTAAAATATAAAAGAGTGATATGAAAATGTAAAGTGTGATGTGAGTATCTGGTGTATTTTCGTGAATGATAGACAACATCTAGGATTAATTTAAAGCTTGAGACCAATCGCCTAGTGGAATGCGTAGAAGCAATTTTACTCAGCTGGCTAGAAGAAAAAATATAAGAAGTAGAAACGATTCTTGATACAGTATGACAGAATTGATAAAAAAAAATGCGCAGCACAGTGAATGATCAGAAAGTAGACAAATTCTGTGTCACGTTACCTACGGCATGTATCAATTCCACGTTATTTTCTGGTATCGCTAGAACAGTAAAAATTGATCTTATGTCACCTGCTCGAGTCACCTGCCTTTTTTTTACTTGTAATCATGAGCCATTGACAATTGCACTGAAGTGAATTTTTTTAAAATTTAGTATTATATTCCTGATGTTTTCGCATGTTTCTCAGTTTTTAATTGCTCTATATTCTCTACCCTATATCTTGATTATGTCTGCCTCCATGTTTTATTACTTACGTTCAACATTGGATCCCTCGAGAGTCTTGACGAACACAGGTTTTCCTTTTCCACTGCCACCCTCGATCCTCGCCGTATTCGATCTGGCTTCTATCGAATTTCCAGCTTGGTAAGAGCTGGATTCCATTCTTACTGCACTGCTCTGACTCACGGATGACTCCATGTATGCTGCACTACTAGATACTGAAGAATACTCTTCAGAGATAAATAAAAAGCAAACCATTTTAATTAAAGCAATTGATCTCTTTGATCTTCCAAACATCAAAGATCAAATATGATAGAATTTTTCAATTAATTTAATAAAATTTATACTATTCATTCTCCACCTTCAACAACTTTCGAAGAGCTGCTGTACCGACTGGAAGAATATCTTCGAGACATATCTGCACCTTCTTCTTCAACTTTTTTAGATTCTGGATTCCCCGGATTATCTTTCCGTTTCTCCGCGGATTCTCCGGGATTTGGTCCCGGGTTTCCTTTTTCTCGCCCTGGGTTCCCTTCTGCCTTCTTTGGTCCTGGATTACCCTCTGCCTTTGGTCCTGGATTTCCTGTTGCTTTCTGAGGAGCAGTTCCTGGATTTCCTTTAATTTCTTCCTTGATCTCTAGAACTTCTGTCAATTGTAGGTCGTCCGCAGCGTGTTCAGCGAGTGCTACCACATCACTCGCGTATTGTCGAATTTCTTTCAGCCAGTAGGCTTTCACTGGGTCTTTATGAGCTACTAAAGTAATGGGGTAGGCTGGGCTGGCTGGATTGTGTAGTTCGAAAGACCGTATGTCCTCTGGATGATCCTTTACTTCCACATCTGGCAACTGAAATCAACATCGGCACTATTAACTACTGCTAAGTATAATTACTTTTTATTATATAAGATAATATCATCACTCACTCGAATGATGTCCTTGAGAACGAAGACGGATCTGTCTTCCGATATTCGTCTGACTTTGCAGATGAGTATGCGAGCTTTAAAGAGGAAGAGATACCTTTCTTTGCTTTTACCGTCCTTGTCAATCACCGTGTACCACTCCTGTCAATCGCACGTTGTCATATATTACGTCAATATAATCAAGATCTATAAGAGACTATTTTAAATATACTGACGTGTGTGAGTAATCTGCCTAACTTGTGGATATTTCCTTTGTAACCTTCGATATTGCTTATGAATTTGTTATCCGTTGCCCTGTGAGGGATTCCTAGCATCAGCTCCAAAGCCTTTTGGAGGTCGTCGCAGTTTTCGCCTAGTCGGGTCGAATACTTCACCAGCTCCTGCGAAAATCATTCGAATCGTCTGGAAATTTGTCTCAAAATTTCCTTCCAACTTTTAATGACACGGTAACAAAAGGATGAAAAATATTTGCAAGATGAGCACAAAACTTCATGAGTTTTAAAGTTGGAGTTATCAGCATTGGATTTCGATGGTCAATGATCGAACATCAATTTTTTTTTCTTTCTTTTACTTTTCCATTCGATAGATTTCGTTGCGTGCGGCTTTTCTATGACAGAGAGACGGAAAGGCGAGGAAAGATAACACGTTGCGAAGATGACCTGTTTTTAGCTTGCTAAATCCGTACAGCGCCCACTCCGTTCGCACACCACGATAAAATACTCTCTGTCGCGGCATTGTAACTATACCACGACGAGCTTTGTGACTTCCCTTGATCTATATCTACGCGAGTCGTATCGTGGAAATAAAATGATGCGATTCAGGCTGATGGAATATCTTTGAGTAACGTTACTCGTTCTTGAATTACACTTAACTATCTCGAAACGTGCTTAGAAGATATTTGAAAAATGTGTTGACTTCATTTCATTCCGTCTTCAACACCTATATATATATATATATATTATATACATATATATACATATATACATATATACAT